CCAACTGTTAGCTAATAAAACTGACAGAAGCAGCATTGTGTTTCATTCCAAAACTGAATTTACCTCTGTGAATAGTTCTGTAAAACTGCAATACAATCATTTAACCCCTTGGCGCCAGCCGCATGCAAATGTGCGGCCTCCCGGTGTCTGGGCCTTGACACCGAGCGGCTGCACATTTGCATGCAATTAAGAAAAACATATGTGCTGAGAGTGTGCGCCCTGCGCACTCCCAGCACGCATGTCCGGTATTCGCGGAAAGGTCCCGATCTCCTCTTGCAATCGTGACCTTTCCCAATCATGTGACCACCGTGACAGCGAATCATGGCGGTTACATGACCCTAAAACCCCCCGCCCCATCTCCCGACTTCTGAAACCCTTAAAGGGCCGGGAGGCACCAGCGCCAAGGGGTTAAACTGACGTTACAATATGATTGTATATATATCTCTTACAAATGCATACAATGAACACACACATTTCATACAAACAACTACCTACAAATCACATGAAATATAGTGAAATGTGATCTAGAGATATATATGTGACTTTAACAAACACAATGAAAGAACTTACAGGCATATGTGTATCAAATGGAGAAGGGAAGCTTTCACTGGTGTCTTCTTCTGGAAGCTAAAGTGGCTCTAGACTGATGTGTGAGTGAAACTTTCTGTTTCCTGTTTCAGAAAAGAATAGACTGCAATTGTAGTGAACATCCAATAGGTGGCTCCCTACTTAACACAATGATGGGAATACAGAACAGCCCCTAACATACAGACCCAGCCACTTGGTTGGGTGCATCTCTCTCTCTCTCTCTCTCTCTCTCTCATAATATTTTCATTCTCCATTGTAATAAGTGTCCCATGTCACAATCCCACTACGGGGTGACCCCAGTCTTTACAAGTGGCTACATCTCATGTGTATAGTCTCTCTCTCAACAACTCGACCACTAGGAACTGCCTCCTCCTGCATACCGTTAGGTCCATATATATTTGGACACAGGCACAATTTTAGTTTTTTTTTTCAGGTATTTACCAAAACATATTCAAGCTATAGTTATATAATGGATATGGGCTGAAAGTGCACACTCTCAGGTTTCATTTGAGGCTATGTACATCCAAATTAAAGGAAGGGTTTAGGAATTACAGCTTTTAAGATTAGCCACCCCCCCTTTTTCAAGTGACCAAAAGTAATTTCACAATTGAATCAAAAGCTGTGTCATGGCCAGGTGTGGGCTATTCCTTTGTTTGTTCTTCATCAAGGCTTCAAAAACAAAACAAATCCATCAGAGAGATAGCAGCAACATTAGGAGTGGCCAAATCAACAGTTTGGTACATTCTGGGGAAAGAAGAACGTACTGGTGAGCTCAGCAACATAAAAAGGCATGGACATCCACGGAAGACAACAGTGGTGGATGATTGCAGGATCCTCTCTATGGTAAAGAAAAACCCATTCACAACATGCAGACAAGTGAAGGACACTCTCCAGGAGGTGGTTGTATCATTGTCAAAGTCTACAATCAAGAGAATACTTCACGAGAGCAAATGCTGAGGGTTCATCACAAGGTGCAAACCATTCATAAGCCTGAAGAATAGAAAAGCCAGATTAGACTTTGCCAAAAAACATCTAAAAAAGCCAGACCAGTTCTGGAAAAGCATTCTTTGGACGGATGAAACTAAGATTAATCTGTACCAGAATGACGGGAAGAAAAAAGTGTGTAGAAGGCTCGGAACAGCTCATGATCCAAAGCACACAACGTCATCTGTAAAACATGGTGGAGGCAGTGTGATGGCATGGGCATGCATGGCTTCCAGTGGCACTGGGTCATTGGTGTTTATTGATGATGTGACAGAAGACAGAAACAGCCGGATGAATTCTGCTGTGTTTAGAGATATACTGTCAGCCCAGATTCAGCCAAATGCAGCAAAGTTTATTGGACGGAGCTTTACAGCACACATGATCCAAAACACTCTGAAAAAGCAACCCAGGAGCTTTTGAAGGGAAAGAAGTGGAATATTCTGCAATGACCGAGTCAATCACCTGATCTCAACCCATGCATGCATTTCACTTGCTGAAGGCAAAACTAAAGGCAGAAAGACCCACAAACAAAGAACAACTGAAGACAGCTGCAGTTAGAGCCTGGCAAAGCAAAAGAAAGGAGGAAACACAATCTTTGGTAATGTCCATGGGTTCCAGACTTCAGGCAGTCATTGTCAGTAAAGAATTCTCAACAAAATATTACAAATGAACATTTTATTTATAATTATATTTAAGGGTTTAATTACTTTTGGTCCAGGGAGGATGTCTACTCTTAAGAGCTGTAGTTCCTAAACCCTTCCTCCAATTTGGATGTACATACCCTCAAATTAAACCTGAGAGTGTGCACTTTCAGTCAATATACATTATATAACCATAGCTTGAATATGTTTTGGTAAATACCTGAAAAAACTAAAATTGTGCCTGTGTCCAAATATATATGGACCTAACTGTATATCCCTTCTGCAAATGCAGTGACACTTACAGGGGGAAGGCAGACCACAGCTGAACATTAACCCCTGAATCAGCAACCATTAACTCTTTTATACAAAATACAAATAGCTTTGTAGGCACCTGCCTACAGGCTGACAATACTGATTGGGATTTCAGTGCAGCAGGGGTAGCGTTGGTAGCTCAATAACAAAGCCAGAAGCACAACTGATTTCTGGCAGATCAACAGGTATGTTTCCAAGATGTATTTAATATGTTTCTTTTTTTTAAATGTTTCGTACCTTGTATACAATTGACCTTGATGATTTTTGGATGGTATTAGTAAAGTTACTTTTTAATATTGGAGTTCCCTGTTTTCTTGTGAATGTTGTTATAATACAGAAGTGCTAGCAATGATCAGAGATATTTTAGCTGGTAATTTTGTTTAATCTCCAAGTGTGTAATGATATCTCTTATGTGGGGTAATGGATTTTTATGTGTTCCATGATGGAAGCTCAGTATAAGAAATATCCTTTGGTATCTCTTTGGCTCACATTTGTTTACTAGTTTCACCAACTGGTTTTGGTTCCAGAATTCTAGAAGTAATTAGAAATTAGATGCACCTAGGAAATGTTAGCTAACATGAATGCATCCTGGGCTGAAGTGACTGAACCTACCAATTTCTCCAGAATATCAGGTACTTTGGTATGGTTTTATTGTTCTGTGATCGAGCCCATCTTATCACATCTCGGCTGTACATTGCATATAAAGTCTTTGGGGAGAGCATATTTATTACCACAGATACTTCTCTTTTTCAGTGGAGAAGAGAGGAGAATGTGATACATGATATACAGTCACAATATGAGAAAAATGGAGAGCTGTGGCCGTGATCTTGCAAGATACAGCAAGATTTTGGTCAGAGATTTTGGGGTCCTGTAAATGATTTAAAAGAACCGAAAACAGGAGAAATATATATATATTTAAATATATTCAGGGCCATCCTCAAATATATATGTGTGTATATATATTAAATTGTTATATATACTGTGTGTATATATATATATATATATATATATATATATATATATATATACAGTATATATAACAATTTAATTCCTGGAATCCCCGTGGAGTAGCACTATGGTGGTAAGTCAAACCGTCATTTGCATTTGACATTTTCTAACTTGCAATCGCTTGGGTCACAGACCAGCTGTCTTTATGGAGTAGTAGACAAAATAACATGTGTGTGTTGCACTGTTAGCAGAAAATGAGTGACAGGAATCTGGAGCAGCAGATTAACATCCATGTGGAAGTAAAACTTTAGCTCTGCTACAACAGGCTTATGGTAAACATTCTATGAACAAATGAAGTGTTTTTGTATGGCATAGGTAGTTTAAGGAGGGCAGGATGATGTCCATTATGACGCAAGAAGTGGGCACAAAAAAAAAAAAACCAAGGAAGTATGTGAATGTGGAAAATTTAAAGGTTACGGGAATCTTTTTAGAGGAAAAGACCAGAACTCTAGCCTGCAAGTGGATTCTCCAACACGACAATGCTCCTGCACGTGATATGTTAAGTGTTTGCAAGTTTCTGGCCTAGAAATCCATTCCAAAACTTGACCAACGACCTTATTCCCCTGACTTAGCACCCTGTGGCTTTTGAATGTTTCCAAAATTAAAAAAATGCCTTAAAAGGACACAGATTTGATGACATTCCTTACATCCAGTGTGCTGCGACAAATATAGTGCACAGCGCTCCAGAAAATTATTCCAGCAATGTTGCTGGCAGTGGCATAGTCATCTAGAGAAGTGTGTCACTTCACAAGGGGACTACTTTTTAAGGTGACAACAGCCACTAGTATATAAGTTAGCAAAAAGGTTTTTTGTTTTACAGTTCATTCCAGGAACTACGTTGTCACACCTTGTATTAACTATTAAAAGAAATTATTAGCTATTAAATCAGAGTGCTACCCAAAAGGGGAGGTTCTGCCTTAAGGAGTGGTCCTCCACTCCCTGTTAAGGATTGGCACCTTTGGGGAGCGGGGGTATCTGAAATTGACAGGTACCCGCTCCCACTTCCGCTGCGATCGCCTAGACGATCGGAAGCAGACGTTTTCCTCCCCCCCTCCCTCTCCGTAGTCTTCTGGGACACTTTACAGGTCCCAGAAGACTACAGGACCATTCACAAAGCACAGAACTACTCGGGCATGCGCAGTGGGCACCTGGCTGTGAAGCTGCAAGCTGTCAGCTTGAAAGCTTCACAGATGGGTGCATACACTGAAGATGCCGGCACCGGGAAAACAGGGCAGCTGGTGAAATGAGCTGTGGGGAGGACACCGCGGGATCGAGGGACAGTTGATTGGCTGTTTTTTAAAAGTCAGCAGCTACAGTTTCTGTAGCTGCTGACTGTTATTTTTTTTACAGTTTGACTTGAACTCCACTTTAAAAGAAGTGTTAGGAGGAAGATTTTCCTGGATCTGGTTTAGTCTGTGAGGAAGCAGAGGAAGTCATCCATCTACGGTCTCATCCAGGGGCGGACTGACAACTCATGGGGGCAATAAGGGATCATGGGGGCCCTGTGTCCTTGCTCAAACTAAAAAAGCCTATGCAAAAAGTACCAGTGGCATCTCATGGGGCCCCCTACTGACCCCGGGCCCTCGGACAGTGCCCGAGTTTCCAAATGGTCAGTCTACCCCTGGTCTCATCAGATCACGGCTTTTCTTTCTTCATCACACCTTATTAAACTACCCATTTGTATTGAATGCAGTGGCAACCTCTCACTCATTTGCGAGAAGCAAAAAATGTCATCTCCACTACGCAGCACAGCTTGAAACCGCTGGACAGCCAAGATAAGCAGTCGCTATCACAGCTTATCTCCCTTTAATAAATGTACAGCTTTGTGTTCCAAGAGTCTGAGTCAGGTCAGGCAGCATTCATAATGTTAAACACCGTGACGCCATTGATCTTGTTCTTTTTCCAGTTAAAAACAGGACAGTTATGTGGATATTGTGGCCAAAGTGACTTTTGAACATGATGTTATTCATTTGTGGATTTCTGCCTAGGGCTGTAATTCTGATCTGAATAGGAAGTCTAATATATGATTTGTGTTCCATTTAGGTGGCTTCAGATGCCTTGGAATTCCTGAAAAGGATGCTGCTTTGGGGCTTTGTGGCGATCAATACTTTTTCAATAAAGAGCTGCAAGAATGCCAGGCCTGCTCGGAGTGTGAAGAAGGTGTTGTTGCTTTTCCATGCACAGCAGATAGTGATACTGTGTGCACAATGGCAAGTGAGAGCAAGTTGTTTGAATCGTGGTCTGCTGGCCTGTCGGTGCCCTCACCTAAAATGGCTAATTCCCAGATATACCCAGGTCTCAGCATGAAGATCAGGGAAAAAGCTCAATGTGAAGTTTTGTCACCAGATGACAACCATATCGTGTTCAAACACCATGGGTTACTATGGGCTGATCTTAACTTTGCAGTAAGACATAACTGCAGAAATTTTCTACAGCTTTCATTAAAACTCAACAACAGTGAGGAAGGCTATGAGTTAAGTGGCTCTCGGATAGAGCAGCCAGATGGTAAATATTTTCAGAGCACAAGTATAAGCTCTGCTGCCGAAGTTGAGCCAAGCCAGACTTTATCTGTGGTTCTTAAAAGCCCCAACCAGTTCTGCAATCAAAGCAAAGACCTGCATGTTTATGATTTGAATATGCCACTCAGTTTGTTTTGGTTGTCTCATGATACAGGTGCAGTGGCCATGAGTGCTCAAATGTCTACAGCAATGCACTACCAAACTAACTATAGACCTACATTTAGGATCTTGTCGGTTTCTGACCCATACATGATCAGCTTGTCTCACGATGGAAGAAGCATCAAGTTTACTGAATCTGGTGTTGTTAAATTTGTTTTCCAGCAAGCTCTGTACTCCATGGGTCCCACCTGTGTGCGGGAAGGCTTTACTCTCATTTCCTATATCAATAGAAATGGATCCAATTCAGAATTAATGCAGGTCTTTAAGTCTGGTGTTAATTATAGAGATACATCCATCTCTGCATCCAGTGCAGCCAAGGTCAATTCTGGAGATATTATAAGTTTTGAAGTCCTTTCTCCGGCACAATGCAATGTTCGATATTTTGGAGAAAACTCTGGCATCAGCATGCTAAGCCTAATCTGGATTCCTGCCAGTATTTCCACTGCTATCACAGCTTCAGTGTCTGCAAATGGATTACCCACAGGTGCGGTCAAGAACAAACTCTTGAGCTTCAGTGAGGATTTGCCTCAAGACAAAATTATCCAACTCATCTCCACTGGTCAGTTTCCCCATAAATATTTTAAGTTCACCGAAAATGGTGGAGTAAGTATTTTTCTTTCAACTTGAAATTAATCCACTCATGTAATGTTCTGAAGGTGACATTGAACACCAAGATAAGTGACCAAGCACAACCATCCATAGTCACTCAACAAATTGGTGGTCAAATGCCAGAAGGCACTCAATGGACTAGTGTATCTCTCCGCTCATCTTTTGAGGTAGAAAATGGCACACTTTTATCAGTTTCACTTGACTGCGTACGTGGAAGAATCAACCAGATTGCAAATGAGAAAGGGACAAACTTATCTATTCTTTGGGTGTCATCATAGATTTTCTCACCCATATGAACATTGCTCAAACTCTTACAGTTCAGGAGGTGGTTTAAGATGATCTTGTAACTGAGGAGATCAAATGAATCTTCCATGTTGGTCTTCTGGTGTATGATGCTCTTTTACGGTTCATCCTAACAGTGCGTTGCAGCATTACCAAGACTATATTTTATCCAATGAAGCATGGTATATTTGTTTTGCCATGATTTAATAAACAGAATTTTGATCACCAAAAATATGCCATCAACCTAGCTGCTGCAAAATTTAAAAGTATGTTAGAGTCAAAATGGAAAAAGAACAATGGGGAGAAAGGGAAGAAAATGACACTTGTATTGGGGACCCCAAGCACTGCAAGGGTTAAATGTTCTTTCCATGTAGGTGGAACAGAAAAAGCAGTTATACTTACATTGTTTCTTGTTCCTATTCTTTTGTCTCCCACACTCTGGGTTGTGGGCAGACCCTCAGCTTCCTCACAATGCAGGACTACTGATCCTTCATTATACATGATGAAGTCAAAATATAGAATAGTAGTAGAATATTGAAGAGAAGCAGTCTTTTGGGACTGGTTGTGACTCGTGCAGTTGGAAGAAAGCCAAGAAGTTACGTTATCATAGATAATTTATATGTTCAACCCAGAAAAAACAAGAGTTTTAAACATTGCTGTGCTAGGGGAGCCTCACTGTAAGGGTCATTTTTTTTTCATGGCGTTTAGCTTTAATGAATACACAAATGGCACCACATACTTGCTGAGTAAATTAGTTTTTGAGCAAAGAGATTGCTACAGTATATAAATCCACTCCAGACCCTTATGTCTGTAATCATGTGATCCTGAAACACATTTGCAGGGGATGCTGAAAAACCTAAACCGGCCATGCATAAATGAAAATTTTAATCCATGTCCAGGACAGTGGTTGTACAGAAGTCAACTTGACCTCTGTACAACCACCCTGTCAGATACATGTCATTCGATCAGCTTTGCTGGCTAAACCGGACAGTGCTGATCAGTGTGTTATGACGGAGGTGAAGTCTCCCCACTGTCAGAACACAGGATCTCAGCAAAGGGATTCCCCCATCTGCCTCAAATGTGTGGATGGGGGAATGGGTCATTTGGGTCATGACTAATATATGGACTGCCTTAGTCAAAGGTCCATGCTGCCTTTCAGAGGTCTTTTGTTAAAAAAAAGTCAGTGCAATGACATTTTCTCATAGCAACCAATCAGATTCAAGTCTGCTTTGATAGTTTATACGTGTTTGGTGATGTGGGGGTAATAATTTACACAGAGCTGTTTTTTAAGCATACTCCTAATGCCCTTCCATGTGTGGAGGTATGTACTTATTCTGTAGGGGGTTACAAAGAAACTGGATTAAGGTAGATTGAGTGAATTTGCTGACCTTAGCACACTTGCTGGGTTTACTTGATGGCATTTGTATCTCACAGCTTGGAATGGCTCCTCAAGGACTAAACCAACTTTGTGTCCCCTGGATGCTTTTATTTTCATTTTTATCTTTACTGGAGGATCTTGCTATGCTCTACGTGAAATTCATTTAAACAGTAAAAGCAAACTTTCTCTCTTTCTGCGTGCATAGAAAAAGACTTGAGAACATGATTAACTCTTTCAAGAGGAAGTGAATTGAGGTGAATTGGCCTGTTTTTCTGGCCATATATCGTTGGTCCCTTTTTAATGATTTCTTTTTGTATGTGCGTACATATATATTTATATTTTATTAAGACAAAATATTTGTTTTTCTGTGATTTTCTAAGATTTTTATAAACAAATGTATATGTTATTCTCTTTTTGATTGAGGATATAATCCTAAGAAATGGTACAAGAGCAAGTGCAGTGCAACCTGCAAGGTGCAAAGACTTATCTTGCATAAATGCATCAGTTAGTAGGAAAAGTCTGATTGTTTCACTACAGGGAATGAAAAACACTTTATACAACTTTAAAATGAATACAAATGCTTAAATCTTTAATAAAGGTATGATTTAATATGACAAATTTTGGTTTTTTTTGGAATTATAGTTTTTTAGGGTTTAAATGCACAGGTGTTTCTGATTGACGTGGCTCTGATTGAGTTTTTCTCTATCCCTATTAAATTTAAGTTGGTATTGTGTGTAGATTTAGAATGTATGTCTATGCAAAACAACAAAATATGCAGTACATCCCTGTAATACATGTTTTGTCCCATGGAACCCTTCAAAATGTTCCAGTTTTGAAAGTAAATATTCTTAAATAGAGAAGCTGCATCCATGAGCTTTGATGTAATTTTTTTACAGCCAGTGATCAACTCCTCAACAAAATGATCAGGGCAGCTTTACCGTTACCCAATCACTTTTACTGTAGTAAGAAGGGGTTCCCCCCCCCCCGCAGCGCTTGTGTTGTTTACTGGGCTCTCCAAGTGCAAGAAAACAAATAAAAAATAAATATATACTTCTTTTTTAAGCTAAATGTAAGGCAAAGAGAGAATACAGAAACATGCAGAAAGTAAATGCACATATATGGCAGCAGTTTAGGGAAGGGAAGGGGGAGGGGAAGGGAATGGACAACCCCTCCCTTCACACAGAACTTAGGGCTGAGGCTGTCAATCACAGGCTGTGTGCTGGAGCTCCCTTCTCTGTCAACTTTATATCTCTTGAGATGGAGGGAAGTGAAGGGGAGGGGAGGGGGGGGGGAGAGGGAGAGGAAAGGGGAAGGGAAAGGGACACCCCCTCCCTTCACACAGAACACAGGGCTGAGGCTGTCAATCACAGGCTGTGGGCTGGAGCTCCCTTCTCTGTCACCTTTATATCTCTTGAGATGGGGGGATATGCTTTGTTCATATTTCATGTCTGAGGTTGACAACCACTTTAAGGACACTTTTTGGACTGGCTGAGCCCACATGTATGTTTAAATTGCCAGTGGAGTGTATTTTCAGTCCTGAGATTTCCACATCTCTGACA